TATGTAGTATTTTTTATATGAAAAACTATGTGCTTAGAGGCGAGAGTTTAATTTTATGAGAATTACTCTATTACAGGGATGCTGCCAACTTCTGGATGTCCTACCTTCCCCGTGGGCTCCCTTGGCGTGGGCGTGGAGCGAGGAGCTGGAGCTGGGCTGGGGTGGCTGGGAGTACTGGGAGGGCAGTGGGGGTGGGGGTGGCGTGGGCTGGACGGAGTCATAGCGTTTGTCACCGAAGGCATCAGCGTCCACAGACTTGCCCCTGTGAAGAAATGAAGACAATGCCAACGCCTGAGAATGGACTCACACAGACAAAACTCGTTCGCATTCTCTAAGTATCTCTAAGCTATTTTTTTTAATCTAGAAATTTCACAATGTATTCTTATGAGTATGGTAGCTCCTCTAGCAAAATAGGCAAACAAATCCCACCGTTCACCAGCACAAGGAATGCAGAGACACACGGACACTTCAAGGAAACCAGGAAAACACCCAGGAGATGGCAACCAGAGGCAAACGGAATTCTGGGTACACTTGCACTATTTCACTGTGCTGTTTACAATTTAATAACGTCTTGCAAATGTTTGAAACATATGCACAGGCCCAAGGCTTCCTTAGGCTCACTTCTAATTTCCTGTCTGGGATGCCAAGGCCACTCCGGTGCACCCAGAACCGGTGTCACCCGGGAGCCAGCCACTCCCTTAGCGAGGGGCTGGCCGTGACTGCTCTGGCTTCAGGGCCACAGGTCCCAGTGACAACTACTCAGACTCCGCCTGCGAGGCAGAGACACCAGGCAGGCGAGCGAGTGTGCCGTTCACTTTAAACGTCGCCCTTATCTCCCAGATCCACCTTTTTAACAGCTAGAGGAGCAGACCCTGCTCCGTCTTACAGGCTCATGGAAGTCAGATTGGGCCGCATACGTTTTTGCTCAGGCTGCCATGGGTAACATGTGACACAGAAAATGCACACGAAAGAAACCTTGAAGAGAGACCCATAAGTGGAACGTCGCCATCTACACCTTCGCAGAGCCGACTGCACTGGCGTTATGTGCACCAACAACAGACATGTCGAGTGACGTTCACAGACTCCGTTGGAGCGTGAGCGTTAGGCTGTGCCGCTAGCTTGCTTTCTGCATGGACACGCGCGTTTGACGATGGCGTTCGAATCTGGAAGTGCACATGACGCCAATGACAGGGGAGCACGCCTGATGAGCAGCCTCACGTGACGCCAGTCTTACCACTTGACGCTCCTTTTCAGGTAGCCATAGCTAGGGTAAGAGCCCAGAACTCTAGGGATGGCCGAGCAAGCGCAATAGAAAAACGAGAGGAAACGGTCAATCTAACTAAGCAAGTCGCAGCAAAGGGAACTCAAATGTCATTAAAAACATCCACCAAGGCGCTCTCCCTCCTGGCGCCAAGCCTTGCCCTTCCCTTCCCCGACCCGGCACCGACCATTGGCTTCTTCGCTCCCAAGCTCCCAGGGCCCTTCCTTCGCTCCATAACTTGTTTCCTAAGCCCATTTCCTCTAGGAGCTTCTCCTACCTCTGTGATTGCACCAGACAAACGTTCTCTTACCAAAAAAAGCTGAGTGTCGACCTATGAACCAGGAGGTTATGGTTCAATTCCCGGTCAGGGCACAGGCCCAGGTTGCGGGCTCGATCCCAGTAGGGGGCGTGCAGGAGGCAGCCGATCCATGATTCTCTCTCATCGTTGATGTTTCCATCTCTCTCACCCTCTCCCTTCCTCTCTGAAATCAATATAAACATTTTTACAA